AACTGGAGACGGTGTAAAGAACTCTTCGGCAAGCCAATAAAAAGGGAATTTCCAAAATCGAGACATGAAGTGACGAATGCATGTATAATTTGCTCCGTAGCATCTCTTGAGAGGTACTTCCTAATTCGATTTATATTACGCAAGTGAAATATAGATGAGCTGGTAATTTTAGAAATATGTCTACCCATGGTCATCGTTGAATCCAGAAAAACACCAAGGTTTTTTACATGTTGTGTATGTTCTATCCGACATCCTCCTCTAGATGTGTATAAGAGACAGAACCAGCACAGTACAATAAAATAAACAATAGTAAAATCTTTGGTGGAAAACTATCCCCCGCCGGACACCAACTCGGTATTCTGAGTCAAGGTTTCGGGGCCAGGAATTACTGCTCAAGGTATTGCAATTTTCACTTTATCCTCTCAAACAGTCCTAAGAACGTTCAGAGTGCGCTACTTCACAGGGGGATTCGCCCCCTTGACCCCGCCGGGGTCATACGTAATTCGCATAACGGCTCCCCCCCCCCTCCTTTTAAGATCCTGGCTACGTCCCTGATTATGATATCCAGGTTTTCATTTGAAGTTCAGTTATGTGAACTTTTGGATGTCGAAGTTTAATTAATACAGTATTATATATAATCATTTATATCATCAAATATACAAAATCACAGTTTCATGAGAGAGTACGAGTCTGAGCAGCTTGGGTACCAGTCCCTAACTTTGGGAAACTCGCGTCATATTGCGCTTACTGCATAGCAAATTGAATTGGCGTCCCATAAGGTCTCTACAAATTAACTTATTCGTTAGTGCACTATCCATAATGAGAAAAAATTAAAACAATAAGTGACAGTGTCTTAGTTGAGTAAAGACTTATATTTGAAATCCTAATTAGATTAAAATACAACAGCACAAGATGCCTCTCTACTTTATACAGCTATGCCAGTCAACGAAACAAAAATTAACGGATCAAAGTCAAAACTAAAATTTCCAGGGAATTTACATAGCTTTGAATATGTTTTACTAATATCAATACTCTATTGTTTCGTAAGTTAAGCGGTGGTGTCAGTATTACTTAATTCTCATTCTATATCTCAACATCTACTAAGTTACGTATATCAGCACTAGTCACTGCAAATAAGCGGGAAACAATTAGGCAGAAGGACGTGTGTTTGCTCTCTACCCGAAGATAATATATAAGTAATTTTTCAAAGAGATTTGATAAGAATATGAAATTTAACATATTACTATCATTTCCACTCGTTTGGATGCTAAATGATGCTAGTAGTACATTTCGTTGCTGCTGGTATGTAAACAATGTTTCCTTCCAATGCGCTCCCACAACTGTACCAGAATGTATAGAGAGAACAAATGGATGTCTACGCAACACACCGGTGCACCTGACCAGTTGCTTAAGAAGAAATGTAATGAAACAACTCTCCTTACAGGTAATTAGGCCTACTCTGCCAACTTGTGTTGACACGATAGGCCTGCCTCTATGTTCAGACATTCCTGAAAGTAAATATAATAAGAAAATGTTGGATATTTGCAGTGGTGTGGAATATGTGGTTTCCTGCATGTCACAAAAGTATTATTGTAAAAAAATCAGCTTTGAAAAACACAAGACAACTCATTGTACCAGCGATTATCAAAATGATAGTCCTTCATCTACCACTTCCACCTCTAAAGGACAACCGACAACCTTATCAACTCATGGTACTAACCATTATCCAAATAACGACAAGAGTATTGAGACATCTGTTTGTGTAATATTAGCCTGTTTGGTAGTTCTTGCTTTCTTTGGAGTTTTGTGTCGAAGACGACGTCGAAATACGAGGTAGGTTGCAAATTGAAGTTTCACTTTTACTTGTTTAAAACAAAACTCAAAATGAGACAGTGAAGGGACTATTCAGAAAATCCCCTACCTCAAAGAAAAACTCCCGCGTATTGTTAATAAATCTCGACACATTTTCATAGAAAAATCTTTGACTCTAATTTGGGTATGGCATACTAATTGTCCCCAACAGAAAGGCGGCCAACCCGACTGTGAATCCTCCGCAATAGAACCTATCTTAGCTATGTCGGTACAAACATTGTGTAGACAGCAGTGGCGTAACGACGATTCACGGTGCCCGGGGGTGATAAAATATTGGGGCCGCATGCATTTTGAAATTATCTGCAGACCTCTAAAAAATGTACAACATAGGTGGTTAGGCCTGCAAAAGAAATGCTCTCAGGAGTCCCAATCTACTAATTACCATTGTATTCCCCTAGCCTATCCGATATGATATCGAATACATAAACCTCTCAAATAAAGCATATTGCAGGAGCATAGAAGGCTTTGCTTAGGCCTTTGTTGAGGTAGGCCTCTTGAGTTCTACATTATCTATAATTCTCATTCACCCATTTTTGGATGTTAATCAAAGTGTCCGATAAAATACTGCAGCGCCTCCATTAAACTTTAGATATCGAATTGACGAGAATTTGGTCGTTACGTCTCACCGCGGAACTAATTAATATATATTATATTTAGGGAACGAGAAAGATTATAGAGGTACAAGCTTAATAAAAAATAGTTTAAATGTTAATTTTAAAGTACGAAAAGGGGTTCGAAATATTGGGGAAAATACGAATGCATTCATACGATATACATTTACAATATTCTTGTGGGTTTTTTTTTCAGAATGACTAATCAAACATCGGTAGTAAATCTGAAACCGGTGAATTTAGAAACAGGTATGTTTACGCAAGTGAAATAAATTTGTGAACTATAATACATTATGTATAAGAATAGGGCCTGTTTACGGAATACCACGAGGAATTACGTTGCAATAACTCAAGAACACGTACAAACTCGTATTACGGAACTGTTAATGAAATATGCCATCGTAATACAGGCACATGCGTACCTATGCACGTTATTGTTTGTCCAAAAATATCTAAATGCCTTTAATTATGCGATTCTATTTTCTAGTAATTAGTGATGATAATACACGAAGCCATGAAGATTATCGTTCGATTCCAAACAGGTCAACTCAACGTCAACAAGAGCGACATCAGAACACGAATCTCACTGATTCCCAAAACCTGAGACGCCAGGAACCAGATATCGAAGATAGCACTGACTACTCGTACCCGTGCGTGAACCACGCAACACAAGCACATGGACTTCAGGATACTACAGTTTTGGCGTCACGTGATGCTGAAAACGTTGGAAATCACACTCCAGAGGCAGTATCTCTGGTGGCACTCGATGATGGAGAGGTTCAGGCTCACATTCCTGAGGCAGCATTTCCGACGTCACAGAATGTTGAAGAGGGTCGGTATCACACCCATGATGGTAGACCCCAGGTATTTGAGTCTTTTGATGATTACCATGAATACTCGTATCCAGATGATCCTGTGCTTGCACCAATTCCCCTGGTTAGACAGCAACAAGAGGATTACTTCGCTAATGACGAGGACTACAGCATCCTTGAAAGCAACTTTGATGACAGCAAAACCAATGACGCAAACGATCGTAGACCATTCTATTTTACATTTAATAAATCTGATGGTAGTCTTGAAGGCAATGTTGATGATAGGAAACTAACCTCTGATGCACAATCTAATGGTGATAGCAATGGTAATGACGTAGATGATTCTAGACCATTTTATTTTACACTGAATAAATCTAATCTAAAGTCTTTATGTTAATCGGATACATACCAATATTGAACATGGAACACTGATATGAATGCAATAAAAACAGAATATCATAGCAGGGAAGTTAAAGATAGTAGCCACAACCAGTCCAAGACCAAATGGCCCCAGAGAGGCCCTCTTACTACCCCAGCACTCTAGAGAAGACGTGTGCCCCATGCCCTACGACAACCCATTTTATGATGGAGCTTTTATCAGTTGTATAATGCATGTGTGCTTTCTGACGCCAACGTTCAGTTGCAATTCCAAATGAGCCCAGAGACCACTGGGGTCTCTCTAGCTAGCCCCGTGCTCCCTGGACGATTGATTGAATGATTGATTTATAATTCTTAACTATATATTGCCAAAAGCTTCATTGGGGAAATCATTACATTCAGGAATAAACATGTAACCAATGCACGTACGCAAATGACGATTTATGTAGACCTAATAATATTCCACGCAAAGATTCATTTTAATAATGTGTGTGTGTGCACAATATTACTTGATTATATTGTTACATAGTCGAACGATATTTTTTATATTGTCTGATAATTAAATAGAGCATTTTCAGCCTTAACAAATAGGCCTATCTCTAGCGGGATTACCCACCCTGGTCACTTCGAGCGAAAATACTTTGCTGATATACACAGGCCCAACATTTTCTCGCCCCCGAGCTCCATGATTCGTCGTTACGCAACTGGCCCAGGCTTCGGAGGTAGATGTTGTAGAACTCATTTTCTAAGACACAAAAATGTATTTGATGAAAAACTCGGGAACCGGTAAATGATATACAGATTTTTTAATATTTAAAAAATGCGAAAAAAGGGAGTAATCACCTTTTTTGTTAAAATCATCTTATTTTCCTTTCACTTTAGTAAACGAAATGAATTCGATGAACGTTCAAGGTGATCGCTCGATTAAGACAGACATCACAATTCCAATTCCGCAAGTACCGAATCAGCTGTCACATCAGTTGCCGTCGCATGCAGGCACTCTCACTGATACCCGACCCCAATCTGACTACACTCCTTATCGCCCACCAGACAAAGAAAACGAGTATATGCGGTTACGATGTCAAGAACCAGATACTACATACTTGGTTCCCTACACGGACCAGGTTAATACACCAGCGCGTGGACTAGTCCGTGCGTTAGATGATGCTGAAAAGATTTGCGATCATGATCTTGAAGGCCACGACGTGTTTGTTGAGAATACAAGTGACGACCACGACTATGCTTATAAAGTGTTCACAAGTGACCCTGTGTTTCGACGCGGAATGTGTCAATAGTATCTCCATCAAAGGTGAATGAGAACACCAATGATGAATATGAAGAAGTCATTTAGGAAAGACTGTAGATAAGATAAACTAAACCTCAAGCTTGTTTGAAGACCAATAATAGCGTTAGTATCAATGACGAAACGGATCCGTAAGCACAGATAGGCCAGTAGTTAAATGATCCATAGTAATATAGAAGAGGTCCGAAGTAATGGCAAAATTTTACTAATGATAGATTAAATCAGTGCAAGAACACAATTGTGAAGACATGTTATAAACTAGTTAATCGTGAATTAGATATCACTCTATGCGTATTTTTTTCTATACATTATTATGGGGCCTATTAATGTTAACGCGCTTCCATATGAAACGCGATGAGGCGCAGGCTTCAGCTTTAAAGTTGCTTTTAATCAATTGACAATCAACATTAAACAGGTGACGCCAGGATTTTCCCGGCTCGATGCCCCCAACGAGGGGAAGATATCGCCGACGGGAGCAAAAGTGGACGTCGAGCGTCGCTTAAATTGTTCCGAAAGTACCGTAGTACAGGGGAGAAGCCCCGAAAATTTTGACAATTTATGGGTTTCAAAGGCTTATTTAATCGATTTTAGAGTCTACTATTATGCACAAAATGCATATAATTTTTTTTTCTCCCAAAGCTCTCCCAGACGGGTGGGGCTCTGCCTTCCCCCGCCCCGTTGGCACCACCCCTGACATTAAATGGCAAATTCAACTATTGAATCATGAGAAAAAAAAGTTTTTATTACACTTTATATTCACCGGGCACTAGCTGCATCGTACGACGGATTACGACCGTTTTACGTTGTAACTATTTTCGCTCTCTGTGTGAGCCTCAGAGGACGCAACGGCGCCTGTTGATTGTCGGTACTCAGCAGATCAGATCGTCATTCAACACGATCCGTTGCGCGCGTCGTGGTATTGCATTCTCAATAGAATCGCGTTTCATACGATTGTCGGGTGAAATGAGTGACCCAGGCTTTACGGTACAATTTATTTTTAGTACTTTGGGTATTTGTTTCCTTAACGTAAATCATTGTATTTTTGCTGTTTTCATGAGACGAATTAATTGAAATCATCTAGAGTATTGTTCTGTTATTATAAACTCGATTTCTCCAAGTCAAACCCATCTTATTGATAGAATACAAAGTAGGTTTTTAAATGTTTTTAGCTATTGACATGTACTGATTATACTGTAATTGTCTTCATGTTGTTATTGTACAAAAGCTTAAATTCTATATTTGATTGTAATCTTGTACCTTCACTTACACTGAACGTTCCTAGTCGTACTCTTACTAAGAACTTATCCATGTTCCATTTGGACGAGTTGACTAACAAAGAGAGGTTTATTTCAAAGATAAGCAGTTACATTTAAGTAATTTGTTCGGATGAAATTAATATTTTTTATGATAGTTTATCCTCGTTTAAGCTTAAAATTATGATAGTTAAATGTAAGTTTGTACCATGTAGGCCTATTTTGTTTCTTTGGTGTGTTTTTGTCCAACCTGTTAGTGGAGGTTTCTATCTCTGTTGGTTAAGAGGATTGAATCGACAATCAACCTTAAATGGCAAATTGAAATACTAAACGATTTCGATTTGAAAAAAAGTGTTATAATTATTACAGTACAATCTATTTTACGATGTATTTTTTTCCTGTTTGATAGGAATTACTTATTTTTATTCTTTATTTTATTCATTTAAAAACCAGCACTGTAAAAACCGCCACTAACAGATTTTATAAACAATCTAATATAGGCCTTATAATATAAATACTGTAGATATATCAATAACAAACATACAAAAAATAATAATTTCCACCGAAATCCTCATATTGATAAAATGTTTTTGTCAAAATGATCATGCATTCTCCGCAAGAAAAGAATGCCATGATCTTCAATTTAAATGCAACAAGTTTATCCTGAAAGATAAACATTAACTGCAGTAGGCCTATGTTTAATTATCTCAAATAATATTATGTCTCAAATAATATTTATATACAAAAAAAATAATCACTTCCACCGAAATCCTCATATTGATAAAATGAAGATCATGCATTCTCCTCAAGAAGAGAATGCCATGATGTTGCCATGATCTTCGATTTAAATGCAGCAAGATTATCCTAAAAGATAAACATTAATCGCAGTATGATTCATTATCTCAAATAATATTATATTTCAAATAATATTTATATACAAAAAAAAAACAAAAAACAAAAAAAAAAACATTAATCGCATTATGTTTAATTATCTCAAATAATATTGTGATTAATCACGTCTTGTATGGTCAAAAGTTTGCTTTGGTGGGACCATGTAGTAAAGATTATTTAGCCCACGGTCATACCAAGTGTTCATCCATGCGAACTAAACTACTTGAATAAATCATCAAAACATTATAAAGAAAATCGAAATAAAAAATACACGCCATTTCTAGACAAATTAAATCTGTTAGGCACCTATTCTATAATCTATTATTATACAAAATACTAAATTATAATAAAAACTGCATTGTTTTGTAGTTAAGAAATTGTGTATTTAGTTTCACTCTATCTTTAAGCAGGAAACACTAAAATCGGGAGTGAAATAAAGGAACTGAGACTAAAAGACGCGTATCTAACTCTACTCAGTAACTTAATGTGAGTACATAATACTTTATAGGGCCTATCAAGTTCAAATATTGTAAAACATTACTCAAAAACGTTGGTATGTTTATCATAAGAGAACCTGTTATTTAGCTGGCTATAGTGTATAGGCCTATTATGTATGTTAAATTTCAGTCAGAATTGGTATTGTATAGAGTACACTTTTCTCGATATAGTTAACAATATTTTAGTATACAGTATTAGCATATAAAAGTGTGGCTATTTGATTGTTTATTATATACCGACTGTTTATTTTTATTTTAGCAGTAGCAAGATTACGATTTAGTTATGCAATATTGTTCAGTTTAACAAACACATTTTACAATTTTATAACATGTTTATAGGCCTACCACCAATTCTGTCATAATAATCGCAAGTATAACAAAACGGCAATAATGATATTGTTACTTTGCCTATTGCTATTTCCTTTTTATATACAGTTATTGCATATTACACCGATAAGACGAGTTGTACGATAATATCGTATTAAATAAACTTGCGCTTCGCACTTGCACTTTGCAAGGGGAGTGAGAAACCGAGGCTGGACCAGGATCACCGAGCGCCAGCTTCGGGTCTAGCGGCCTCAGGCCCCGTAGCGTTGTTACGCTCTGGGAGGCTATTGGTGATTTTTTTAAATAATGTAATCATTTTTAATACCTTCTGACCAAAATCGCAAACCATATGACATAAGCAACAGCCAAAGGCTGATATATGCCTCGCCCACTGTCGGCTTGTTTGGCCGGGTGTTTTCCCACCCTGTGTCATCCCCAGTGCACAAGTGACCAGCCACAGCCTTCGACGGTCAATTATAAGTTTTAATGCCGCGCCACATGCCACATACATACATACACCACATGCTTCCTAATCTGTTTCCAATATTGAAACAATTCAGTAGATAAACTTGAATTACAGGAATACTGTATCAATTTTTAATAAATTTATTTAGGCCTATTTATTATTTATATGCAGGAAAATGTAATTGATTTTTTTAAAGAATAAATCTAGTAGGGCCTATTTGTGATAAGGTTGACGAATACCAGGAGAGGACAACCGGATTGCGTTGGGTTGTGTGTCGGTTTTTCAAGAGATTGCCGACGTTATGATGGAAAGATGAAAGTTAACGAATTCTTATCATTTATAATCGTTTGGATGCTTGGCGTTACCATTCCAAGAACGCTCGCTAATAGGCCTAATAAAGATAATATCAATGACAACGAAATTAATGTATTTTGTGGCTTGTTGGAAGACAAAGATTGCGAATGCACCTGTAAAATCCAGGGGAATGTGAAGAGAAATTGAGAGAATGTCAAGAAAGCGGATCATCTTTGATAAATGCTATGTGCTTAAAATCATTTTATCAGCCAACTTGTTCTAATTACTCCGTCACCTCAGTCATATTTTTGGGAGGTCATTAGAATGAGAGATTTAATGATTGTAACAGAGTGGTGAAAACTGCACGTGTGACTGCTTGCATACCAACAACGTATTCTACAGTCTCCAGCTTTAAAGAAAAGAATATTATCAACTCATAATATCAACGATTATACAAGTAAAGAGGCAAGCCTTCCAACCACTATTCAATTAAAAAACAAAAGACACTTCTACTAACTCCTGATATTTACGAGTCTAGAAGTACATATACACTTCCAGCTTTGAAGAACAACAAACACTGTCATCCGCTCATATCTACGATAACAGTAAAAACGCAAGCCTTTCAACTACAACGTTCAGCTCTGAAGAACAACAGATCATTCTATCTACTCAGACACACGACCATCTCAGTAAAGACCACAATCTTTCAACCACCATATCCAACTCCAAGGAAAAACAGACACTTTCACCCACTCAAACTATCCACCATTATACTAATAAGGGCGCGGGTCTTTCAACTACCATCTCCAGAGCATTGAATATAACCTCAGATAAACATAAACTAAACATGGTATTTGTCTATATTATTATTATAATAATAATAATAATAATAATAATAATAATAATAATAATAATAATAATAATAATAATAATAATAATAATAATAATCATAATAATAAGAATAATAATAGCATTATTGATAGTCATTAACATCTTTGGGGATTTGTGTCGAAGACGACGTCCAGAAGCAAGGTAGGTCATAATTATTAAATGTTCATGTTTACTGGTTTAAGCTAGAAGGCAGACAGTGGTGGCGACCGTGAGGAAAGTACCTTACCCTTCTTCCGTCAACAAATCCCCTCACACCACAAGGCTCTCAACCATAAAGCTCCGCAATATAATGTTATACTTCTGATGTCTCCTGTAAGATGTTCTAAGTCTCTGAGATCACGTCTCAAGACCCACGGTGACAGAGCATTTCTGAAATTGATCGAAATGCTTAACGTATGATTATTGTATTGCTTGTCACTGGTTGTTCAGCAACCTCAATATACTGAAGTTAAGTAGGCCTAATACGGTACCGAGAATTGAACAAATTGCCAAATTTCTGCAGTAACCTTTCTCACTTGTTGTTGTTGTATTATAAATCTGAATTTAGCCTGCTGTGTTTTAGTTTGACCTTGTTTTATTGAATAGTTGAAAAATTTGAGTTGAAAAACTTGATAGTTAAGATGCTTGCCAAGGTCCTGGGTACAACCTTAATATACAATAGGATTTTTTTGCTCTAAAACTCCATTCCCGAAGCGTTGTTATACGATTAGGCCCTGCGGGAGAACATCATTGATTTTTACTCAACATGTTACACTATATATAAATAAATTTGTACCAGTCCCGGCAAATTCACATTTTAAATCTGATCTGTTCTTAACAGGTGCCATGTAGGTAAAATGTATGAAGTTTTATTGCTAATGCATAATAATCTCTTAGTACATGATTCATAAGAATTTTGAACGACAGTTAATGACCATATTAGCCAGTCATTGAAATGTATCACCAATGCAATTGTTTTATTTTTTAGAATCACAGTGCATGTACATCAGAATAGCTCATCGGCAGATAATCAAACATCAATGAGCACATGTGCATGTAAGTAAACAAAACGAGTACAACTTCAGAGTTCCTTACATTTATTTTATGTGGTATATTTCTACACCAATGGAACATAGACGTAGACATATGCCAATGTTAATGGAACAGTCAAATCTTCCGGGGATTTTTTCGTAGCTTAGGCCTATTTAGTAAGTCAACGGTTTTGTCTTATTCGTTTGAGATGGTAGGCCAATGTACATCTAGAAGAAATCGAAATATATGATTTGTTAAATCATCATTTTCCTTTCTCTTTAGTAAATGATATGAATTCGAACGTCCAAGATGATCGCTCGGTTGAGAAAGACATCAAAATTCCAATTCCGCAAGTAGACCTACCGACGCAATGGCCACAGCAGTTGCAGTCGCATGCAGGCTGATTCGCGACTCCAATCTGACTTCACTTCTTGTTGTCCACCAGACAAAGAGAACGAGTACATGCGGTTACAATATAAAGAACCAGACACTGCATATGACTTGGGTTCCCTACGCAAATCATAGCGAATCATAGGCCTACGCCAGCGCGTGAACTAGTTAGTGCTGGAAGGGCTTGCTATCATGACCTTGAAGTTAAAGGCCACTTACTTGTTGAGTCTCCAAATGACGATCACGTCTATGCTTATAACTTGTTTACAACTTACCCTGGGGTTGGACGCGGAGCGGTAACAGTATCCCTATCACTGCTGAATGAGAGCGCCAACGATAATTATATATGAAGAAGTCATTTAGGAAAGACTGCAGATATGAAACAAAATCATTTGACGGTCTTAATAATAAGCCCAAAGATTTACTGCCGTGC